TTTTTTTTAATCAGAGATTAAATGCTAAAATTAGGGATTTTAAATTATGTGGTTTATTAAAAAAAAAGGAAAAAAAGAATGCAAGCCCTGTACTAATATCATAGACAGTAAAATATTGCTGCTACTTACTTCTTGATGACATTCGGAGCTCGTTGTCTTTCCTCTTGTTTTTCCTGTGAACACAATGGGAGTGATTTGCATTAGAACGGGACAGGTTGTCGATTTTCGTGTTCAAATACTACTCAACAATCCAAGATCAATCAATAAATAGAGAAAGAGCGGGAATCTAAAGAATGGATTTTTCGCATCACAGTGCTCTCACCAGGTGTGAGACGATGGCAGCTTCTGAATTACATAAACGTCTGACCTGGAAATAAAAAACTTCATTACTTGGATTTAATGTGACAAATGTTGCCAGTTGGGCTCGTCCCATTAGGGGTCGCCGCCGCGAGTCACTCGCATGATTTGGATGGCATCATTTTATGCCGCATGCCCTTCCTCACACAACCCACCTATTTTGTTGGTCCGTTTCTCATTCAGTTTGAAATGAATTTCCCTTTTTAATTACTTACCCAATAAAATGCATGCCTGTAAGCACCTTGAAAGGAATCGATTTTAAATTATATTTACATAAGATTACAATACTGTCATGCATTTAAAATTTATCATCATTCAAACAGGTTTTTTTCAAATAAATTGAATGACGTATTCGCGTTATTATTTAGCCATTATGTCATGTATTTTCTCATAGAAAAGTGATTTGAGACTCAAAGTAATTGACACTAAAAGTAACAAATTATTTTAATTGGCAAAAGATTATATCGCGTTTGTCATTAAATAAAAATAAGTTTAGAAAGATGAATAAATTTGGTGTCTTACATGTTAAAGTTAAGACAATTCCAGTTTTATTTTACATATAACAATATAGGACAGAGCATGTTGATAATAACTTGATTGAATGAATATATATTAGAATTTAAAATTTAAAATTTTAATTGACATTATATTTTTCAACTCTCATTTTTTTCATTGGTAGAGAACCAAAGGAAACACATGCACACGCACAAACACACACACACACACACACACACACACACACACACACACACACACACACACACACACACACACACACAC